TCCCCTCTGGTGCCGGGGCGTCGTGTGGTGGCACGAAAATGTATCCTGTGGCTCGATCGATAGCGCGTGTCAGGTGGAGCATCGAGGCTTTATCCTGCACAAACGAGTAATTCAATATTCGGATCACATAAGAAATCCCATCGCTATACCTCAACTGCTAGTGTTTCGAATCCCACAAGACTGTAGTCCTCGATTACAGAGCATAATGCCATATTGAGAGCATTGTACCGCGGTGATGAAGTATTCAGTGCGTTCTCCAAATAGGAAAGATCCTGAACCTCCGTGTAAAATCGAGATTGAAGTCTACGGGAAAGATGAGTGACTCCGATGTGTTGCATGGTCACCAACACGCACCAGGTCTCCATATTGGACTATTAGATCAACCTTTGACAAAACATTGACGTGCGGCAGTTCCAACTGTAGCATAGTCCGAGGGACAGGAGAAGTACGGAAACATATTTTGCGGCCTCGGTCACATAGTGCGCATCACAGAGATGAACGGCAGCTAACTAGCGTTGTTCAGAGAATCCCAACGACAGAAAACAACATCATAGAACGTACCCTGAACCCAATCTTTGTCAATCGTTGCACTATATGTTTTAATGCCTCGTGATTAGTGCTAAGCTCAACCTGACCAGGTATGTCGAACAACACATATGCGTTGGATCCCAGCTCTTTCAGCCGTGCCTCAAGCCAATCAAAGTTGGCGTCTAGGTACTCCATGCAATAAAGCATGCCTCCATTTGGACCAAGACCGTGTTCGTCCATGACATCCTGGAGGGTGATTAAAGAAGCGATGTCAATCGCACATGGATAAGGGATGTTGTCATTAGCTGGGTCGAGGTTTACAATGGAAATTGGGCGATTCAAAGCAGTGAATAGCTGGTGCTTGCCATAGCAGTACGTCGATTTACCACTTCCTGGCGCACCACACACCACTTCACCAAATGGCATAGCAGGAAAGATGAAAGCGAAGCTGGAAAGGGACCACGTGATGCGATTGGCTTAAGGGGCCGTCTGGCATTATTAATGCTAAAACTTGTCTTCAATTCTAAAATTTTGAATGGTAACGCTCATGAAGGTGCTGAACTTCAGCACCTTGAAAAATGACTGAAAAATTGTGAACTTCAAGTTTTCTCCCTCATCACATGCAGCCGCATCTCAAGGATCGATTAGTTGAGCTTCAACTCTGTCTTGAGGCACTGCCAACAGAGATTCCCATTCCAAGGAGTCCAAGTACAATTTCTCCAACTTCGGCCCGGATGCTGATTGGACTACAGCGACTCAGAGTTGGATGTCACTGACCCCGAGAATATATCTGAAGATGGCTCAAAAAAAGCGGATTCTTTTGACGGCGAGGCTTTTGATGCTGCCAGTATCATCAATCTTGACTCCACGACGCTAGCTGATGTGTTTGCTGACAAAGATTTGGCACCCGCAGCACCGAAGAACACTGTCACTCTTCTGCTGGCAAGCACTTTGGTGCAAGAGAAGGTCTTGACCGAAGCAGACTGGGACATGACATAGAGTGTAGGATAGATCTAGACTTGTAAATCAAGCTAAATTTTGCAAAATGCACCATGGATCGCAAAATTTTGCAGCACCCGGAATCGCCGGGCCGGTTTTACCGGCGGTGGATATCCACCATACTCACCCGTGGATAACTGACCCTCATTTAGGCCTGGTAGATATCCACAGTGGATAACCCCTCAGAGGGTTATCCACGGAACACTATGCTGAAGCGCCCGGCTCTATGTTTTGAGCCCATCTGACTCATCGAAACTCCGATCAGTGTGGGTTCCAAAGTTCAAGCTCAATTACTATGGGGAGTAGTTTGCTTCAAAAATGCTCACTTGCGACATTCTTGACTGTCATAATGCGCCAGTCAGATGCAGCATTGCTATGAGTTGCTGTCACCGTCGGCTTTGTTCAAAACACCAAAGTCCTCCTTTTCACGATGTACACCAAATTTCATCGAGTGAAAACGTACCAGGGGAAATACTATTGGTGCATCTCCTTCGCCGCAACCAATCCTTGGGAATGCCTACCAACCACTGGCGGTTTTGAATACATGACATTGAGTGGATTATTTCAGAATCGAATACGTCATACATCCGCCGGCACTTCTAACACTCCCATGTCCTTTAAAGTGTTGTATATCGTGTGCAAGCGGTCTCTAGAACGCGGGACATCAACGCGAAGAATATTGTTCCAACTCAGCTTCTGGTCAGGGCGTCGTTCACTGGGCGCTAGATAACTTGGGTCCTTTTCTGACAGACGGTGCATAGTCTGATTGACGTCGCCACGACGTATCGTAGTACCACTCCAATACGGACCTGTAGCATGACGGTTATGGTATGTAGTCCAGATATATAGATGTACTAATTACCTGTGGCTGCGATGGCCAAGACGGAATTCATGTCTGTGTCTTGCAAGAAGAGGTATCCAGCTTGTTCAATCAAATCGTTCTTGGCTTCGGCAAGCGGCCCAAAAATCCGCGATTCCTGTTCCTCCCCTGTCAGACTCCTGCTCGGAAATCTTTTCACTTCTACGAGAAGGCCGACGCTCGCTGCAGTAATCCTCCATCCTCCATAACGATCCCTCTGCAGTGGCTGAGCCACTGCGGTCAGATTGAGGATCGCGAAATCCACAAGGACACCGCGGGCATTTTTTTCCGGGACGGTTGACGCGAAAGAGATATCGCCCACTCCAATCTCGAGGTCTCCGTCGTCCTCGTCCTCGTCCTTGATAATACGACTTCCTCGAGCTTCCTGCTCTCCCTCAGGTACTACTACTATCTCTTCCGGATCATCGCCATCATTTTCATCCTCACAATCGTCATCTCTAGGCACAAACCAAAGAGGGAATTGAGGTGCAACAATTAAGTTTGGGATGTTTGCCACCAGATCTGAGAGCGTCTAGTCCCACAATGGGTACCAGAAAAATTCGATGTTGCGGGGGTTATGTGTGCGAGAGAACGCAAGCGAAGTCTCCAAGATTGCTTTGTATCGCATCACCATATTATTGCGACGCCCAGGGAGAATCCAGGGGGGCATAGCGAATCAGTAGTGCGTGGCTCGAGTTCGGAATGACTTGGACGTCGACTGGCAATATGTTATATGCATATGTAGTACAGACTTCGATTTCTTGTGGAGAACAATGAGGGTGTGTCTCTTCGACTTGCGGCGGTGTTATTGTACATCGTTTTCAGCGATGAATAATAACTAAAATGGTTATGATCCTTCGCTCCGAGTCGCGGTTGCTCAAATATTTTCGTACGGTCATGAGTCACGACAAATCATGACGTGGTGATTGATTCCAAGGGCCAAGTGATCGGTCTTTGATTTGATGGGCAAATTAGGATGACAAAAATGGGGGTGATCGTGGAAGTGTTGTAATACCATTGTTCACCACTTGCCACAGCCCACCGCGAGGTTACAACACGTGCCTTGTCACATGACGCCCTATATATATACAAGGTAAGTCTTGTTCGATGTTCAGCATCATCGCTGCTAATCATCGCAAAATCAAAGTAAGTGCATACAGTGTGTCAGAACCATCTCTGTGTTCTAATGTTATACTTCTTCAAACTTCAAAGCATCGTAATCATGGTCAAATACTATGGATATCTGGTGGCAGATGAGTGGTTGTACCAGCGAGCCGTTGAGTTGGGTCATCCGCGCCCCAAGACGTACGATGACTCAATAGACACCATTATCCTGGCTTCGAGGGATGTTAGGACAGAAACGGGCGTTTACACCTACACCAAATTCCGTCAAGTGAAAACTCTCAAGGGGAAAATCTTCTGGTGCATTGCCTTCGCTGCGAGCGATCCTTGGGACGGCTTACCAACCAGCGCGCCCCCCGAGGAAAGATACAAACCTTTGAAGGAGGCTCTGCAGAAGAAGGGACCGCCTCGCTGGTTCCGAGCTTCTTGAATCAAATCGTCGGTGACCTATGCAAATCGTCGGTAGAAGCGTTGGTGCTTATTTTGCCTGTCGAAACCATACAGTTGTCTCGTTACATGAATTGCCCCACATACTCGTCCGTGCGTTCGAATCCCGAGTTGTGGTAGCGTACCTTCTCGCCGCTATTCATGTATTGGTTTGAGGAAAGGAGATCCCTGGGTCCTCCATTACTAGTAGCTCCCCCTCCCCCTCTTGTTGCACTAGATTAATCATTTGGTCGGTGACCCTATGTTGGATATACGTCGTTGTTGTGTCAATTGAGGAGCATTGCAAATGAGTACTGTACTGAATAGTCACATTGTACGCATTATTCAATGAGTAGGAACGTTTAAACTTCTCAGTAGTGTTTTCAGGTTGGTCTCAAGGTTGTTTTCATTGAAGACGGTCCACCGTGCGCGATGCGCGTGACCGGTTGACCTACAGCATTTCTAGCGATGGATAACAAGGGTAAATTTTTATCCTTTGCGTTGCTCGTTCATAGAACAACAGATGATATTTGATCCGAAGAGAGGAAACAAAAGAACAGTTGGATCAAGTTGACTCGATTGACAAAAGAAGAGAATAGCATGTGGGTGGATGCCACGCGGTGATAGTCGCAGTACTTGTTGTATCAAAGTATTGTTCACCAGTTGCGGTGACCGCGACCGCGTTGTCTTTGTACACACCTGGAAGCACGTGCCTTGTCACATGACGTCCTATGTACACAGCCTTGACGCGATTTGCAGGCTCGTTCAAACTCCAACATTTTCGACACCACCGTTAAACATCGCGAATTCGAGGTAAGCGCACGCAGTTATTATCTTAACCGTCTCTGTATTCTAATACTTCTTCAAGTATTGTCATGGGAAAATCCACTTGGAGAGGAATGGTCATTCCAACGATGCGTTGATCCGGATTCCGCGCCCCAAGACGTACGACGACGCAATGCAGATCACTTTACTGGCTTCGAGGCATGTCAGGACAGAGACGGGTGTTTACACCTACACCAAACTCCGTTGAGTGAAAACGCTTCAGGGGAAGCGCTATTGGTGTATTGCTTTCGCTGCAACTGATCCTTGGGAACGCTTGCCAACCAGTACGCCGCTGGAGAAAAAATATAAAGCTTTGAAGGAGGCTCTGCAAACGGACGGACCGCCACGCTAGTTCCGAGGCGCTCGAAACAAACGTCGGTTACATGCACTCTGTTAATGGAAGCAACTAACGTTTATTTCTCATCTGGAAACTTTACAGTTTCGTCGTGTCGCATGGACTGCCACATACTGTCCAAGCCCTGGAATAATGGTACTCGGTGGCACATTGGCACATGCAATTTCGTTCGGAGGGAGATCCCATAATGCCGACGATCCTCTATTCCTCTCCATTTTTTGCACCAGATCAATCCTTTGGTCGGTGACCGTATGTCGGATAGATCTCATTCTGATGAGAAACGTTGAGGAGCATTGCAAATGATGAGAGTGATACATCCGAGTTGGTATATCTTGTACTGTAACATTGAGACTCTACCCACCGCTTGCATTGACTCAAATCTGATACCATATTCAAGTTATCATATGCGATCGGGGATGAACTACCTAAAGTTGTGCTTCGAACTGATCCAGATTACCTGCCAAGATCACGGCTATACCCTAGGACTGATACCACGACGGTTTCAGTTCGCAGTCCCTTGTGATTGCTGAGATCTGACCATTGGGGGTTGACCTAGATAAGAGTCCTAGCGCTGCACGCAATGTGTGATTAGAACAAAAGAAACCTCAATCCATTCGTACTTCTATTCATCTCTAATCATGGCTCCGGTTCACCAGCAATAGAGCAGCATTAAACATCCAATCACTGGATATCGCTTAAAAATCTGAAATAATTATAATCACGTTGGCCTAGCGCATTACGACGGTTCTTCATCGCCAGGCATCCCGGGCATGAAAACCACGAGGCTTTAATTGGCGCGCAGCGATCGCATACCCTGACCCCACAGCTTTCGCATGTCCCGGTGAGTTTGGCAAACGTTTCTACTACCCCGTCATCTGCGTCATCTGCATCCTCAGGGTCATCCGCATCCGACGCTTCTTCAACGCAGTCATAGCAGAGGGTAACACGTAAGCACCGCTTGCATTGGTCGATATAGGTGCAAGAGGTGCAAAATGGCCTGTCGCAGCGCGGGCAGCGGATAAAGATGCGACTGTCGCGCTCCGCGCAGATATCGCATGCCCATACTTTCTGACACATACACGTGGTACCACCACTGGTACATTCTGGGCAGATCACATTGCCTTTTAACCAACATCTGTTTCCTCGGCATTTCCGCCATCCCAGCTGCTTGCATTGACTGCAGGAACCGCCCTTGGGAGGGTGGACGCTAGTTGATTGGGAGCAGGTAGTCATCGCACGCAGAAACTGTTCAATGGAGGATGCGCGAGAAGCTGAAGGTGTGGTAGCGGGATGCCCGATACACGAGTTCATATCCGTGGCACAGCACCAAGATTTGCACCCAGGACACTTTTCTAGCTCCCTCTTGGACCCCTGCTCTTCAAGGCACGGAAAACATAGTGTATTGTCTTTATGCTTAATGCACTGTGCGAGTGGGGGTTCGGAAGATCCATGGCAACCGAGCGATCGGCAGGATGCAACCTGACAGCTTTTGCATTGGTCAAGACCGGAGAAGCATAAAGGGCATCCACTAAGTTGTTTAACACCAACAACCTCCTGCTGTGAAACACGTCGACGGTATTTCTAAAGCACTCAATTTGCATCATGATAATGGGTGAACAATCAACACTTGCCTCCGCTTGCATCTGTTGCCATATCCTACCGCCAAAACTGCAGTCCGAAGCTGGTTTCCACTTGATAGCGGACCTTCTGAGGACGAACTCACGGACGAACTCAGAGATATCCATCAGAACCGGCGTAAGCTCTCCAGGGAGCGAAACGCACACGTTCTCTACCTTGTCTTCGATCTGCATGTCACGTAACACAACATCAAAGCGTGTATCAGTCTGTGTGCAAAGGCGCAGATGTATGACGAGGCTTGATATGTCAGGAGGACCCGCATTTTCTTGCGAGACTGTGTATTCGAGAGTTGCGATGTGCTTTACTTCATCAGTTGTGGAACTCGGTTCGTTTGATGGGTCCAACATATGATAGACACCTTTCATAATCCAGTATATGTTCATACGCATTGGATGATTGTGAACATTCTTGTCTCGCGAATTGGTTGCCGGGTCGTTCGGCGAAAATATTGTCCAGGCAGGCATGCAGAGCAGATATCGATGGATAAGAGTTAGATAAGATCAAGTGGACGTGCCAGTGAAATGGACATGAACATGCCACGTTGAGGGTGCATTTTGTCCTTTCCCGGGCCCGGAAATGAGGGTGCGTCTTACTTCACCGTGGCTGCCGAGAAATGCATAAATCCGTCTCTGACTAGTACGACTCGTGAGACAGACGTCTCAGATCTGAGAACACAACTACTTCCAACGCCGTATCAAGTCAATCAAAGGTCTCGGATGCATAGATATCGACGAACGCTGGGGCGCTTGTTATCATCTCTTCGGGCAGCTCTATTCAAACTCGAAGGAATCTTGATTCTCAGTGCTCACCGAACTTGGGCCACCACTCAACAAATATTGCCGCAGGGTGGTGATGCCAATGTCTAATCTAGGCTTCGAGCCGTATCCTTGAAACAACACGAGCTCCACAAGTGGATGTCACCTGAAGCTTTATCAAGCGCAGACAGGTAACTGGCCTCTAGACTCTCACAGATCAGTCAGCGCTGATAAAGCAACTGCGATTGCGTCAGATTTCTCACATATTTCGCACGTATAGATATCCCGGTCAGTCCGACTCGAGATCATTTAGTCATGCGCTGGTTCGACCCAAGTATAAGTATCTCAGCTGTACATCCAAACTCCCACCTGGACGACTAGCGCATAACATCCATCACATGGCTCAAGAACAGATCACCCTTTACACTGCGAAGGTACTGCATAACTGCAGCATGCTATGAGGCCGTATACTGACATTTACCCATGCACATAGGTATGCCCCTACGCTCAAAGGGTATGTCCTCATCAGCCTTGACAACTGTGCTTGTTGTGATGATTCAACCAATCCAGACTGAAATTGCCCTCGCCGAGGCTGGTGCCCCATTCAAAAGATACGAGATCGATCTGGGGAATAAGCCAGAGTGGTACGCCCCAAAGGTGAACCGTGCCAGCAAGGTGTGCGCCCCACTCTTCATTGCAATATGACCGCATGTTGAAGTGGATTCATGGCAGGTGCCGGCTATCGCTTATGGTGGTCCCGACGTTGCCCCAGAAAATCCTTCTCCCGAGTCTACCAAATTGGCGGAGTCGCTGATCCTTGTTGAATTCATCGGCGATTTGTACCCGTCTTCCAATATCCTGCCTGCGGACCCTGTGCTACGTGCCAAGGCCCGTTTCTTCGTTGAGATCGTGTCCACTAAATTCAGTCCCAATTTCATGAAGTTTGCATCCGGCAACCCGGAAGGCACACATACCGCTCTCCTTACTGGCGTGGATGCCATTCAGGACATTTTACCCGACGGGGCGAAATACGCTGTTGGCGACCAGTACACCATTGCAGACATTGCATTCGCGCCGTTCTGGGCAAGGTTGAACTTGTTGGTGCAGAAGGGAATTGGTGCCTACAAAGATGAGGAGGGGAAGAGCTTCTTGAAGGCTCTGGAGGACCCCAAGTATGCGAAATTTAACGGTTATGTGCAAAGAATCCTAGCAAGGCAGAGCTTCAAATCCACATTCCACGAGGTGCGTCCGCTACTCTGCCGATAATTGCTGCTATCATAACAACTGGTCAATAGGACGTCGTGCAAGAGATTTTCACGAGAAGGTTCGGCTTGGCTAAATAAACATAAGAGGATATTAACATATGCAACATCACGGTTTTGTACCATTAACCATCATTTAACTGTTTAAGATTGTTGTTCTACAGAGTGGCCGATAGGTCAAAATGATGTCGTGTGGGTCCTTCAGTCACGATAAACAAAACGGCTGAGTGTTCTTTTGCTGCAGGAATCTTTGTAGAGTTGTCGTGCCTCCGAGTTGTACATCATTGAACCTAACTGACTAAGTGAGCACCCGGCCTAGGCCTGAACTAAGCAGGGAATTCGTTTCACGGGTCACTGTCATGCGTGCATGTCTATCTCTTATGGATAGATCCTACTGGACATATTCACAGCTATCCATGAAGACCGTGGACGAGTCACCAAATATTGCTGCTCTTGCGAGAACCTGCGGGACATTTAAGGAGCCTGTGCTTGATACGCTTTGGAAACGCATTGATATTTCTACACCGCGCCTTACCTAAAGGCGCTGGGAAGAGAAACATTTGGACCACATGATATGGAACGCTCCAAATTTTGCATGTAAACGCTTCACAATTCGTGGAAGATTGTTGGTCAATATTCACAACATATGCACTCCTTGTTCATTTCCTCTGAGCTAGACGTCGTGCAAAGTGCTCACTTTGGCACCGAAGTTCGCTCACACTATTATTTTCGATCCGTCATAGTGTGGAACACTGGGGCACCACCTATGGATGCTCATTCCGTATTGGTGGTATTTCGTCGTTCCTGTCGCATGCAATTGCTGTAAAGCTAGAGTAAGTAGTGGGGCCCCTGAGGCCCGTAATGAAACGTACTTGCGAGGATGGTCACAAGTTGTACAAGTCCTGAAGGAGCCGATCTCGACACTGAGTCCTTGATGATTATTTGTCAGGCTTATCTGGTAGCAGAGTTTGTGTAAACAAAACTAGTTTTTCCGACAAAAAGAGAAAAAGAGCGTCTTAACATTGACTCTCGAGACGGCAATAGTTACTGGTCGACACAGCCACTTGGTCACGTGATCAATTGCTTACTCAACACAAACTGGAAATTTAGGTCTGCTCGTCTTCAGCGTCAACGGCGACGATAGTCGATTGTTGTTCGTGATTTTCTCAACCTCTTCCATCCCTGACCAAATTCATCTAATGTCTGGGAGACCAGGAGGCAAACCAGATCTTTCTGGCTACAACTATGGTGCTATTTCATCCCTTGTCTTGACCGCTGACAGGTCTGCTCTTCCCAGGAGAGACAGAGAGCCCGATGGCGCCCCTACTTCTCTTGCAGGGCGGATCGACCCTCGTGAGATGGGCTCACGCGTTCAGCGTCAAGCCCCAAAAGATGTGGAGAAGAAGAAGAAAAAAGCAGGAGACGCGGGCAAGCAGGAAGCTCCAGAAAAGGTCGTGAAACGACGTGCAGAAGCTGGTTTCGGGTACACGGATATTATTGATGCGACACAAGACGTCGAAGGACTTTCATACCGCCCCCGTACTGCCGAAACCCGTGAGGTTTATGAAGTCATGCTATCCACGGTACACCAGGTGCTAGGCGACCAAGCACAGGACATTGTTCGCAGCGCAACCGACGCCGTCCTTGAAACACTCAAGAACGAGTCCATGAAGGACTTTGACAAGAAAAAAGAGATTCAGGAGGTGCTGGGCCCCGTTTCCAACGACGTGT